CTCCAGCCCGTATTGTTGTCGTGGCATCGGTGGCTCACACCTGGACTGGGCTTCGACTTGATGACATCAACAGTGAGAGGAATTATGATGCTATGAAGGCCTATGGACAGAGCAAGCTGGCCAATGTCCTGTTTGCACGCTCACTAGCCAGACGATTACAAGGTGAGGTGAAATGGTCACGTTTTCACAGAATTAGTGCACATTACAAAAGGTTTAGTTTTAAAATTCATTTGTCTTTTTACATTAGCATAGATTTGTTGCACACTGGATAGCTTGTATAAGTGTTAATTTTCTCTACATTGTTCTTTCTCTTGCTCAATATATAAGATGACATTAATATGAAACAACAAAATGAAAACAGTTTAGAAATACTATGGCTAATGCAGCTATTGCTTCCAAATTTACAAATACAATTGCACATGTTCAGCCACTGATGCAGTTACTAGTGAAGGAGCCGATTCTTTTCAGTGGCTCTTTGGTAGGAACGAAGGGATCTCAGTTCAGTGTAGTTCTTTTTCTCTCTGTGACCAAATTTCACTGTCTGCCCTAAATTCACATCAAATTTAGACATTTAGGGGGGGAGACAGAAAGAGAAAGAGAGAGAGTGAGCAGTGGTGGTCAAGTGAGCTAGAGAGTGAATGAAGAGAGGGAGCAATGTTACTGAGAACTAAGCAGTGCATCAGAGAAATAAAATGTTGTTGATTGTTTGTCAGTGGTTATGTTCTAAAGCACAAATAAGCACAGGTTCAGTTCCTGTGGGAAAAATTTTGTGTGAATGCAGTTGAAGCTCAGGTTTCATCGTCATCTCTCCTCTGTACTTTGTGTGTGTGTGTGTGTGGGTGTGGGTGTGGGGCAAAGCCCTGGCCTCGGTCAGACAGACAGACAGACACAAGTCTGAAATTAGATAGACTTTAGCCCTGAGATTACACCACAGATGTGTTAAAAGAAGGAGAAAGAAAGAAAAAAGAACAATGAATCCTTCTTTTGAAAAGGAACTGAGCCATAAGATCCGACTGTGTTCAAAGAGCTGTTGTTCCATCACTAACAGTTACTGTATCAACTGAAGCATGATTTGCACAGAAATATGTGTAAATTTGCAAAATCACAACAGATATGCATGTAAATAACTGGGTCATATTTCTTTGCCAGAGATAACATGAATATTACTGTGTAGGTGCTTGTGCGCATGTTGCAGATACAGGGGTGAGCGTGTTCTCTCTGCACCCGGGGGTGGTGCAGTCTGACCTGTGGAGGCACCAGCACCAGTGTATCCAGCTGGCAGTGAAGATCTTCAGGATTTTCACCAAGACAACAGTGGAGGGGGCACAGACCACCATCTACTGTGCAGTGGAGCCGGGCCTGGAGTGCCAGAGTGGAGGATACTTCAGGTACACGCAGGATGCTTCTCATTACTTTAAAATGTCTTAAACATATGACAGCAAGAAGAGATGGAAGGAAAAAAGTCAAGAAAACATGCTTTTGAGAAATGAGACATCTGCCATTTGAAGTGACGTCAGTTTCTGATTACAGTTTCACTGCTAAGTCAGCTGTAATCCGACAGGCTTAACTGCTGCCTGCACAGTGGTGTCCTCCAGCATGTCAAAGTGAATGTGAAATATCTCTGCATGATTTCACTTTTATATACAATTTGAAAGTGTCTGCACATCTATTAATAACCTGTATTTTGTATTTTTGAACAAATGTTTCAAACCACGGTTTGTAATGTTACTATTCAGGCACTGAAAAGCGCACAGGACATTACAGACAATCTACAATTGGTTCTAACAAAATGCTGACTTCATACTGCTCAGTATTTCTACTTGATGACTAATAAAATGGTAGATTTTATGTCGTTGAGGGTTAACAATCTTTAATCTTATTTATAACCCTCGTTAAATGCAGCACACAGTGTGTAATGGCCAATCTTTGTCCCTGTGTTTGTTCAGTGACTGCGCACCTGCGAGGTGCTCAAGGGCCGCATCTGATGATGACTTGGCCCAGAAACTCTGGGAGATCAGCTGCAGCATGTTAGGCATCACCTGGCAGTGAACAGCAGAAAATTAACTGTGCGGTGAAGGACACTGTGGGCTATTTCAAAATATCATCTTTAAACACCACTGTTCAGCACTTTTAAAGAAGCCTTAATATAACTGTTACTGTTGCGTGTTTCAGTCAAATTGTATTTATTAAACAAGCCTGTGTGATGTTTTACCCACATGTTAAACTGTTTGTTAGTGTTCACTGGCAGTCAAATTGCTTTCAGTATTTTTAGTAGAATTGGATGAAAATGATTGATTGTGAAAGTTTCTCTTTCATAACCCTTAAAACCTTAATTTTCCGGTTTAACTGTGGCAGTGAGAAAGTTTTAGCCACTGATGCAAATAATATGGCTCCAAGCTGCCTCCTTTTTCAAAGTAACATTTGAATGAAATATGGTACAGGGCACACATACTGTAGGCTACATGGTTGTGGCTGACAGTAGATGACAGTATGAAGTGAGATCTGTTTGGCTTTTATAGCACATAAATGATCAGAATGTACATTTATTAATCAATAAATCTTGAGGCATTTGTTGAAATTCTGAGAAAGTCATTGCACTGAATTACCTTGTATAATTTAATTTGCAGTGTCAGTTGTCTTTAGCTGAGGAAGGAAAAATAAATGTCTGTGGGATGTTGTTGTATTGAGGAAATCAGCTGTGATTTCATTATGGTTAAATATGGTGGTAATCATTAACTGGTTATGTGTTGGCATATTGAGGTTTCAGTAACGCTTTAAAATTGTGACTATGTTAATGCAATATGTTCATAATGTAAAATTTAAACCTGTCAGCGTAGAAAACATACAGTACTGCTACTTCTCTGTGAATTTTCCAGACTAGTTACTGCAAAGTACATATTTATGAGTACACATGAGTAGGGCCCCATTTTCTGAGCTACTTGGTTGACCTTTTCAGATGCAGTAACATGTGACACTGGTATGAATTTTGTCTGGGGGGATTAAAAGATTAGATAAGATTGGTGTAATAAGCTTAAAGTCTCAAGCAGTGCAACCCCAACAGATGATGGAATTTCTGTCACTTATTTTACAGTGTTTATTAAAGTGGCAAATGTAAAAAGTATGGGTGGTGTTTAGTATTAGTCACTGTTGCACAATTTGATTCCCCAGAGAACAATAAAAAAAACATGTCTAGAATCAAGCGCACTGCAGCACATGGACTTGCCTTTTTCTGGACTTGAGTAGCTATTACTGTGAAAGTGGCACTAGTCACCAAGAAGAAAAAGCCAGAATTCTAGTTAGAAACCATATCTTAATCTGCATCACATGAGAGAGTACAGACTAAAGGAATGTGGCATGAGCAAGAGGAGCAGTTATAGAAATCTAGGACCAGTGCCCCTCTAAGCAATATGTGTATTACATTTAAATGCATAATCATACTCATCAAATAATATCTTATCAGTAGGCCATCTTGTTTCCAGACATTTGCTCTGTTATGAAAGGCAGTTAAAAAAAACTGTATTAAATATTCCTACATCCTTTGCTAAATTGAAACCGAGTTGAAATTACATATTTGTTGTAAGCAAGAGGGCGCTTCTAATATTTTATCAGATAAAATGGGAACACTTAAATTTTTACATTGACTTAGTCTATATACAAAATAAAAGATATGAAACTGTATTTTTCATTTGTCTGAACATTGTGTAATAATGAATGTTTGAGTCCAATCTCCACAATGGGAGATTGAAGATCACAAAATTTTCTGACAGTCTATTCTAGGCTGTAAACAGTTGACAGGCTAAGATAGGGACAGGCCGTGGCTTAGTGGGGTGCCTCCTGAAACGAGCACGGAGACACGGTGTAGAAAGGCATAGATGAAAACAGCGATAAGGTGAGACCTGTAAGGTGAGGTGGAAACTCACTTAGGTTAGATTATTAAGTCCACCTATGATTTTTTCTTTATGTGCAATAGGTCTATATTTATATATTACATATATCTGTGTGTCTCCAGCTTGCTGGTTTCGGGATTCACACAAGTAAAAAAAGCCAGCCAGAGTAATTAATCAATACATCGTGACTCCGTGGCTAAGTAAAGCCTGAAATACACAGCCTCCTGAAACCTGCATGGTGGCAACATGGAGAAAGGTGACAAAGAAAGCTGAGTTCTCTAAAATAGAGTTCTCTAAATATGTACAACCTTTCACTTCCTATCTAATTTTCACCTCACCTTTCACCGCTTTCTTCATCATGGCTTTTTCCGTGTTGTGATCTGGTGCTATATAGAAAATAAAATGAACTTAACCTTCAAGGGGGGGCAGAGGTACCGTTGGGGGGGAGGGGTGCCAACAACAACAATGACACAGTGATATTCATATACTGTATATTGCCAAAAGTATTCACTCACCCATCACGTGCATACGCACACTCCTCCACACTTAGTTTTTCTCTACAGAAGAAAATAACTTGGTCCATTGTGTCTTCCCCCCATACCCAGACTTATAGAGCCACAGCTGTGGAGAATGAGAAGACTCCCTCATGAGGACAATGAGGTAAGAGACTGTTTAATGACAATTTCTGTAAAAGAAAACTTGTGGTTTAATCCCAGAAATTATTTCAAGGTGTTCTCCATGTTTATTTATGAACATTTTCATTTCAGGGGGACCATTTTCCCAGATGTGGCTCATGCTGGAGTACAGTGAAGAACCAAGAGACCTGAACCAGTGCCTGATATCTTTGATGTTAAAAGCAGAACAAGACAGTTTTGTAGTTGTAATAGCTTTATTGAAGAAAAAAATATAAACAGGGCCTAGAACAAGGCTGAAAATGTTGAACACAGATTCATGATTCAAGATTTTTATTTGCCATTTATACATAAACAGACAGTCTAGGCATATAGGAATTCTTGTGCAGGGCTCTCCTGGAGTCAGGTAAAGAGTTAAAAGCCAAAAAACAAACACCTAGTTTAAATATAAAATCACATAAGAATAAAATAGTAGATCAAGTTGTAGATACAAGAATAAAATAACAGGTAAAATCGTGAATTTCAAATCTTGCATGTAATGTAACTGTATATGGTATTCTACTTAGTAGAGTAATGAGGGCTTATTGCACAGGTTTTTCACATCTTGTATTTACCATCAGTCTTACTGCGGCAGGGAAAAAGCTGTTGTAAAATCTTGTTCTGTGTGTGATGATACTGTCCGCCCTGCTGTGCCTGAGGTTGTGGGTGCACTTTTTGTGTCTGAGCTGGGGGGAGTGGGTCTCTGATTATGTTTTCTGCTCTTTTGCAACATTGCTGTGTGTATATTGTGTCCATAGCAGGATGTTTAGTCCCAGTGATCCCCTCTGCAGTCTTTTATGACCCTTTGAAGAGCCTTCCTCTCTGCCTGTGTGGTGTTACCATACCAGACAGTGATGCCAGTGATGAGGAAGGTCTCTACCAATCCTCTGTAAGCCTGGGTGAGAGGGTGACAGTTCAGTCCAGCTTTCCTGAGCTGCCTGGTGAAGCATAGCCACTGCTGGGCTTTCTTCACTGTGACAGATGTGTTCAGTGACCACAGGGCCCTGAAAAATGCTCTGTCTCCCACAGAGTGCCCTTCTTTTTCACATGCTGCTGAAGTTTTGGGCCAAGATGGGAAATCCCTACTGGTGGGGTCGTCACGGCAGAGTACCTCACATCTTCTCCATGTCGTTACACTGTATGTGTCTGGACCACAGTTGTGAAGACTTCTCCAGTAATGTGAGTTCTCTTGTAGTTACATTACTAGAGAGTCTTCATAACGAGTACTGACAAATATAATGTGTTTAAAAAAATTCTGATCTTTCATGTCTTTATTTAAGACACTCATTTAAAATTCAAAATGGTAGTGGAATTTTAGCCCATTCTCCCTGCAGAACTGCTTTAGCTCTGTCATATTCTTTGGAAGTCTCCCATGTATGGCTCTCTTCAAGTCATTCCATAGCATCTCTATTGGGATGAGGTCTGGGCTCTGACGTGGCCGCTCCAAAAGGTGGATTTTGTTATTCTGAAGCCATTCTGTTGTGGACTTGCTCCGGTGTTTTGGGTCATTATCCTGTTGCATCACCCAACTTCTACAGAGTTTCAGCTGACGTAGAGACATTCTCACATTATCCTGAAGAATTTTTTGATACACTTTGGAATCCATCTTCCCCTCAATGATTGCAAGCTGGCCAGGCCCTGATGCAGCAAAGCAGGCCCAAATCATGATGTTTCCTCAGCCATACTTTACAGTTGGAATGATGATGTCATGATGATATACGGTGCCCTTTTTATGCCAGGTGTAGTGCTGTGTGTTCTTTCCAAATAGTTCAATCATAGTTTCATCAGTCCTCAAAGCATTTTGCCAGTACCGCTGTGGAGTGTCAATGTGCTCTTTCACAAACTTCAGGCGTGCAGCAATGTTCTTTTTAGAAAGCAGCGGTTTCCTTCATGGTGTCCTACCATAGACACCCTGCTTGTTCAATGTTTTATGTACTGTAGATTCATGAACATAGATGTTATCCAGTTCCAATGATGCCTTCAAATCTTTGGCGGTCACTTGGGGTTGTTTCTTTACCTCATTGATGAGTCTTTGTTGTGCTCTTGGGGTCATTTTGACTGGGTGCCCACTTCTTGGTAGAGTAGCCACAGTCCCAGAGTGTCTATTTGTAGATCGTTTGCCTAACTGTGGACTGGTGAATTTTTAAAGTCTTTGAAATCACTTTATAACCCTTTCCAGCTTTATGTAAATCAACAATTCTTGATCATAGATCTTCTGAAACCTCTTTTTGGTGAGGCATGGCTAACATAAGCATATTCTTCTTGTGTGTAGCAAACGCAAAAGGTTTGAGTTGTTTTTATTTGTAGCTCTAGTCCACACATCCAAACTCATTTTCTTTCTTAACAAGACTCCAGATGCCAACTCCTGACTCCTATTAGCTTTTTTGAAGTCAAGAACTCAAGGGTTCACATACTTTTTCCACTAGCACTATGAGGTTTTTATGGTTGTTCTCAATAAAGACATGAAAGATCAGATTTTTTTTGTGTTGTTATATTAGGCACATTATATTTGTCAGTACTCTTGACTTAGATGAAGATCAGATCACACTTTATAACAAATTAATGCAGAAAACCAAGATATTCCAAAAGGTTCACATACTTTTTCTTGCCACTTGTGGTTTGTAGTGGGAATTTACTTGGACAGGATTGGGGGGTTGAACCAAATACAGCATGTAACATTTCTGACTAAAATCCATAGAGAGGCTCATTATTAAAACTAAAATTGAAGCCTCCTAATATAATGGTAGGGGAAACATGCTCTCCTATTATGCTGATTTGGACTGCGAGTAACTGAATCATAAATTTCAGTGCCAACATTTTGGAAATTTTTAATGCCAAATAATCCCCCTCTCTGATGTGAAAATTAGTATCCAGTTTCACATATAGTACTGTAAGTGACCTACTTTTCAGTTGTCTTGACAAAGATTCCCTCAAAAAAAAAAAAAAAAACACATCAACTGTCCACACTCCTGGCCCTTTCATTCTCTCATCCTTTGAATACAATTGGCCACACTATGCTGTTATCTGAGCACCAACCATATGTTAAGAACAGACCGCACACTTACAATACTGTAAATCATTGCACAATTCATTGTAGATCTGCAGATATGCACCTTCTCAGTTTTGATGTTCTAGAACACCTTGCAGGAGAGACACATCAGGTCATGGCAACACTTTTTGACACGTCAGCAGGCAGCATGTCGCTTCACATAAACCTCCAAGCCTGTAGGTGGCAGTCTCAGGTAAGACTAGCTGGGGCCCACAGCATGTTGGTTCGATAACAGAGGAAGCTCGTACGCATGCGCGTTTTAAATCCACGTCACAAGTTGCTAAAAGATACGTGGCTCTTACATCTCTCACGCTTCGTATCGAGAAAGACCTCGAAAAAAGGTAAATGAAGTTGTTTCCCCCCTACAAATTTTCTCACTAACAGACGTGAGGGTTTCTAACTGCTGTTTGTTTTCTTATTAGTTTACTCGCTGCTAATCCTGTAGCTACCATTAGCAAGGGACATTTCTCTAAGGCTAGAGCCTTGTATTCAACAAGATTAGCTAGCGGTTACTATTTTATTGGCAAATATTAGCAGTTTCAATGTTACTGGCACATTTTTTGATATAGAATTACTGGTTATTAACTTATAAAAACGTAAGATCTACGTTATGTTGATAAGTAGCACTTAAAGCGTTGTTGGGATCATGAAATGCTCCGGCTGTTGTCAACGTAAGCACTAACGTTACCGCTAAGAACTGAAAACAGTCCAAGATTTAACTCTTGTTTTTTTTTTTTCTTTTCTTTTCTCTTCTGTCTTCAGCATAAACACCATGGATCAGGTAATGCAGTTTGTGGAGCCCAGTCGGCAGTTCGTCAAAGACTCCATACGACTTGTAAAGAGATGCACAAAACCCGACAGGAAAGGTAGGTGCAGTCTTTGTTGTGCTGAGAACCATGTTAGACGCCAAATTGAGTTTGACTACCCCTAATCTGAGCTGAACACCTTGTGATCAAATAGCACGGAGAGTGATTTGACTAGCCAAGCAAGGTATCTAACGTTAGATTGTTGTTTTGCCCTCCTTTAGAATTCCAGAAGATCGCCATGGCCACAGCGATTGGGTTTGCCATCATGGGTTTCATTGGCTTCTTTGTCAAACTCATTCATATCCCCATCAACAACATCATTGTGTAAGTAGCAGTAACGCATGCTAAATTATATCTTGACGTCTGATTAGTATTTAAATTACAGTCTGCAGTTAATTGTTTGGAAAAGCTGCTTCAGGTCTTGTCAGTGATAATTCCCTTTCTATTGTTACTGTTTATCTTGATTGGATAGTGTTTGCATCTTTGCTCTGTTCAGGGAAAACCCTTCTAAAACTTTTATCAGGGACTCTACAACAACACAGGGCGCTTCTAATGCTTCTGTCTACTCGCTGAAAAGATGTCTTAGCTGAAAATGGCTTTGCAGCCAATCACTGAAGTATAGTACCATTGGTCCATCTGTGGTACATCATGGCAAGTCTATTCCCTAACTTGTAGTCTTATAATGTGCTTAAAACAAGAAATCTGTAAAAACTATTTATGCACAGAAAGCTGCAAGAGGAACATATTATATAGAACCCCTTTTTGAATTAATTTTAAATTAGTGGGAAATGCCACAAATTATTGACAACATACCAGTACCAAAACCATGAACCCAGAATGGTAGAATACTTTTACCGGCCACTTTAATAGTAATGCCTGTTCGATTGTCTGTACTTCAGTGCAACACTACTGCCTTAACATCTGTGTTTATGAAGATCTAAATGTTTTTCGGTGAAATTGTCATAAATGTTCCTAATATTGACCCTCATGTATGTAGCTGGGGAGGACAAAAATATAGACTCCTAAATACAACACCACCTTTGTACCCAGCAAAGAGGCTTGAGTGTAGATTGTCTTCGATGTCGTTTTGTTACAAAACCCCAGTATTATATTTGCACTAAATCTTAAGTGCCTTAGTTATCACCAGAAACATTCCATGGTGTCACCTTTTATGGGCCAGTTACTAGTAGAAATGTCCAAAAAGCAAAGTACTTTCATACAGTCAGATTAGTGGCATTTATGATTTTATTTTGGTGCAAGACAACTGATGGATACAATTTCATGTTTTGTTTTCTTGGTCATTTAAACAGAATACTACAGTTAAAGTTTTGCTTGAGGTTCTTAAGTTTTACTTCTTCAGTTCTGGCATTTGACCTCTGTGGAATTAACAACCTGAGAGTCATAGAAGTCACAGATGAGCTAATGCCCCACCTGACCATCATGTGGGTCCTTAAGGTCACATGGCCTCAAAATGTAGACAGGTGTTAACAGATATACCATGACCAAGAATCTCCATAGACATTTGATTTCCTCATTCACTAACACTGCCTTTCTTTTCTTTCCTGTAGTGGCGGTTAATTACTGGTCAACAAAAAAAACAGAAACTTCAATACTGGGGGAGAGGAGCCAATGGTGTAAAGTGTTAAATGGCACTGCTGTGACTGGGGACTGAAGGGATGGCATTTTTACATTCTTTGCACAGCATTTATGTTTTGATGTGTAAATAAAACAAATGTAAACTCACAGGCTGATATGTCATGTTTATTGAGATATCCTTATCACTATAGTCTGCATACAAGTTTAGTTCTTGCCTTTAATAGGAACAAGGCACAACAGCTTTATAAAGCACATTTCATCGTGTACATAGAGGCAATTCAAAGTGCTTTACACACATGTGGAGATGGTGATGTGTATTCAATATTCCATCATGTTAGTTTTTACCTAGGCATCATAAGAAACCAGATAGTATGACATAAGACTCAGATTCTGATTATAAAAGGTGCCCATCTGTTACAAGAACATAATACAATGATAAATATTCTTGACAATGAGCAGCTGGCATAAAATCTTAAAATACATAGCCATCAGCTCTTTTGGCCAGTTTCTGAAGTTTCCAGTGTTCCAACGCACATCACACAAAGGGGGGCATAGCTAGAAAATTTGGACAGAGTGGCCGTGCTGGGGCATAGAGTCAGAGAGGTGGCACATTTGAAATGCAGGTACTGAGGCAAATCCTGCCAAGTACTCCACAGCAACACAATCGGAGAAATGAATACAAATATGCTGCATGCTCAATATAAAATATAAGAAAAAAATGGCTGCAACTTTTTCATTTGGTACTGCATGCTGTACAAAACTAGTCACTTTGTCCTAGCTTAACTGTAGTTAAGTAGTTACAGGTGTTGATTTGTCAGAAGCTTCCCTATTCCTTTTGTCTATACCCATGGTCCAAAGTAGTGGCTGGTTAGTAGTCACAGTCACAGTCTTCCTGGGCTGTCCAGGCTCATAGGTGTTGGAGGTGCTCACCAGCTCTCCAAACTGCAGGACCTGGTTATCTGGACAGAGGAGACAGAGACAATAACAGTTAAATCAAGCAGTAATGGAGGCCTACAACACAATAATGGCTATTTTAAATAAAGAGAAATTATTCAGGGCTTAAAAGGAGATATCTGACAGAGTGGGAAGGAAGGGTGTATACCTATTTATAATGTGGCTATCTGTAAAAGCCTTGTTAAAGAGAATTTTGTCTGAAGCTGTTTGTGCCCCTGTATAACCGAGGTGAGGTGGTCCACATGACTTTGATTTATGTCTTAACACAGAAATTTGGACCTAGTGAGGCAGTCAGAGGCCACACAGTGTTCACAGCCAATGCCGCACACACTCACAGAGGCTATTGTGTGAAGGCCACTGAGCATATTCCCACTTTGTGGTTACTGAAGTGCTAAGAATCTTATCAAAGAGAACAGCTGACATTCAGGTGACCACTTACAAGCCACAAAAGAATTTGGCATCCTTTATAACAAGCAGTGAAAGGGAATGAACTTTTCAAAGAAACAGCTTTTACAATAGGAAAGTGTTAAAGAATTTAGATTTGTAACATATTCAACCTTGTATCATGAGCGCCAGACATGTAATTTAGCAGAATTGATATATCTTGCTATGGATATTCTCACGTTGAAGATCTAATACTTTTAGGGCCGATTCATCCAGCTTCTTATTTTACTTTCTCTCTGTGCTGTCTCTACATCAGGAGACATAATACCTTTTGTTACAGAACCTTCTGTGGCACTTATGTTCTCTAAAGTAGAATACAGCAATGGGGTTTTTCCAAATGTTTAATTGATAGTGAACCATTCTGGCCACAAAGGGCACCCGGTGAACACTGACCTCAAGTGGTCAGACCAGGAAGAGCAGCTGTGCCTGATGTACAGGGCTGCTAAATTCTATCAGTCTGCCAGTGGAAAGACTCAAGTCAGAGGCCGACAATTTATCAAAGGTTACCTAAATAACCATTTGGTTAAGAGTATCATACAGCACAGGCCAACATATAAATTCATATAAAACATCGGTATACAAAATTCATGCAATGCCTTCTGAATTTAGTCACATAAAATAATGAATTTTTATGGAAAATAACTGACTATGCTTTAACAAGCTCAGATGTCAGAATATGAATTTGTGTCACTTTTACCCATTCACAGTTACTGTATATTTACACAAGTTGAGCTGAGAGTGGAGCTGTTGGATCGTGTTTAACGTGAGAAGGGCAAACTAATCTCAGGAGAGTTATACTTGGGACTTTATCATTCACTATTATCCCTGTTCTTACCATAAGCAGCTAACTGGACTTCTTACCCAACAGGTCACTAAGTTAAAACAATTCAGCTTGAATTGTTTGTAACTTGTAACTTTGTAACACTTGATGGAGAAGCCACAAAGGCTCTGCTGAGACTTTTGGCTCTAATTCAAAAACACTTTCTGTGTCTGAGCATTTTCATAAATGAAGACACTGTAGCTTTTTTCTTCATGGTCTGTAAAGCACTATTATCTGGTTTGCCTGCTTGGTGTTAGTGGACAGTGACAAATGAAAGGGAGTTGAAGGCTAGGTGAGGTCTACTTTCATCTGTCGATCATTTCTGCCTCATTAAAAGCTCTGTTTTATTATCATTTGTGGAAACATTGCTACAGTCTACATCTTCTCTTCTGAAAACACTGCCTGGACAGATGACTTTACCAATAGGTACATTTTACATCAGCAAAGATCTGGCCACAATAAATGCATCACTTTTAGTTTTCCATCACATTCTAGCACAGATGTGGATATAATAACAACAACATCATCATCAACAGTTAAATAAACCAAAATACACCTTTCAACTTTAAAATATCTCCACTGCCTATTTCCCACAGGCCACAATGAAGAGAGTTGCTGTGCATAGATGGGTAGAGTATATTACATAGTCTACTGCCTATGTGGCACCAAGGTCTAACAACACTACAGAAAATAGCTGAAATGTAAAATCTGTGTGAAAGTGTGCATAATCATGCAAGACAAAAAATAAAAACACGGTATGTTTTTGTAGAGTCAGTTTTCTTTAACTGGCTCCACGGAGTCAGACCTCAACTGCATTTCTTTAGGAAAACCCTGAATTAATCATGACGCTACACGTCTGGTGCACAGTTCTCCTCCGGTCTCAGAAAACAGGGTGCCAAGGCAACTTTGGTGCATCATTAGTGCAAAATGTCATATAGTGGTCTAAAGCTTAGACATTTTTGAAATATACTTAAAATGTTTCAAAACGTTTGACTATATACTGTATACGGTATATGCCCTGCACAAAGAAATCCATGTGAAGTTCCCAGTGTGTCAGACTAAAGTACAGCTTCTTTTTATATAGATAGTTTCAAAGTTCAAAATATGTTCTCTTGAATAATAGAGAGAGCAATTAATCATGCAGCCTGACTTAGCAAATGCTACCCCTTAAACATCAAACACTGTAGTGCAGGCTATTACCCCGAACCAGCACCTGATAATTGCATTGTTTCAACATTCTCTAGAAGAGACAAAACATGAAGAGCATTACAAAGTTAGAATTTCATAAATATGCATAAACAGTTTTGGTGCAATCACTTCATGTAAAGGCAGAAATGAACAGAGGGCCAAAGACAGGAAAGCAACAAATCCTTTATCCACAGGCTCCTGAATGCACATCAAAAAGAAGGATAAAAACTATTCTGCTTCAAAGACTGCCAAACAAGCATGATATTAGACCAGGCTGACTCAGATAGGGAAGGAAAATAAATGTATATGAAGTTATGGTGCTCATAATTGAGCGAGCACATAGCCACAGTCATTATGCTGAAGCTGTATGGTAATAATGTTGTACTGTGTTAAAGTGCAGTGGAGTTGTTTGCTTTCTTTCCTCTCTCTCTCTCTCTACAGGGTAATGTTTTGCAGCCAGGTTCACACCAAGTAGCACCACGAGGGTCGTCGAAGAGCTGGAAAAAGTCAGGGCAGGGTGGTCAAGGCACATATTGTACTATTTTGTGAGATGTGTGAGCGAGCATGCAAACTTGTATTGGCCTCTTTGGGAAGATCAAAATGTCTTAATATTACGTAGTTACACAACAGGGACTTCTGTGGGGATTCTCATATAAATGTGAATTTTAAAGGCCCTGAAAACCAGTTTTCTCCATCAGCTTCTTACTGCAGTTGGTGGACTTTAATACAAACATCAAGTTTTCTGCCAAAGTTGGAACAGTTTTGATCATTTTACGCAGCAGATTTCTCTGTTTTTCTCTGCTTTCTTATTGGTATACGATGGGCTGAGCTCACTTGGAAGAAGGTGATCATGGTTGTATGTCTTTGCACCAATCACAATGTATTTTATCGAAATGTGACAACAGCTGATCAGATGTGTGCTTATACTGTAAATTACACTGGATTATTAATTATAAATAAGGATGTCAGAGATTTACATAAGATCTGAATTTCGGTTTTCAGGGGCTTTAAAGCCTGGGCAAGGTTTCAAAGGGTTTTGTATTTTTCTTGTAAATGTGACAGTGGGTCTATGGAATATCCCAATAATTCAATAATGATAATAATTAAAGCTGTAATTGAGGAAAAAACCATATTGCTACAACTACCTTCCTAGAAGACACCAATACACCAGTGTGCCTCACACAATATCTCTCTCAGAAAGCTTCATAAAACTTCTATATTATTGCTATAAAATGATCATAGGATTTATCCCTCAGCACATTGTGATTATATTACACCCAAATTGGAAAAGAGATTCATAGGCAAAAAGCTGTTGGTGGATGTAATCATAACCACCACCAGAGGCAGCACAGCACTGCAATACACGAACATGTGAAGTCATGCCCAACAGAAAGGGCAGAGTGATGCCTACATTTACTAACACACATTATCTAATAGACACATTCATTTAAACACACACACACACACACACACGTGCAAAAACTCTTTACAAAGCACAAAAGGCTTTCAGATGGCTTCATTAGTAATCCCCCCTCAAAGCTGATACCGATCAATAATGGCCCCCGCTGCAGTGGGGACCAAAATGAGCGTCGCACCCTTCAGTGATAACAATGGAGATGTTTGCTGCCTGTAATTGCATTTTCAGTGCCATAGCCGAAAGGGCCTGTCAGCTGTAAGCAGACCATATTTACACAACAAATTACCCAAGAGAGAAGGTGGGCGAAGAGAGGAGACTCACACACACTCGTACTGCAGGGCACAGGTAAAGAGGGGAATTATGGGTATTGGGGCCATTTTTGAAAGGGAGGAAAGACTGTAGCTGTTCTACCTTTGTTTCACCATAGGTTTTTTTTGGTAAACAAGGTCTTGAAAGACATGTTAAAGGTGCTGACTCATTACTCTAAAATTATCAGTGATATGCTATAACCCCCAACAGGGCCACGGTAAGTCCGTTAGGATGTCTATCTAAAGCTATATACAAGGTATTTTCCTCCATAAACTCAATTTGTTTTGAAAAGATGATGCTGATATTAGAATTTTTGTTTCACTTTGCTTCGTTTGACCTTTCGGTTCAATTTTCACTAACTCCCCTACTGCTATGATTCTGAGTGGGATTAAAACTGCTGTTATAATTTTGAGTTCTTTGAATACTCTGCACCAGTGAAAGCTGCCTATCTTTTCATTAATTAGAGAAATGACACAGGAGTATATTTACTAAGCATGTTGCAAATTATTGCCAAGCACGGAAAATATTAGTCACTTTATTTTAGTGCCATATTTACCAACATTGATGATGTAAATGAGCACGGCCGCAGCAGATTTAAAGGTGGGGTTGGCGATTGATTTCAGAAGCATTTTTTGTTAAATTTCTTGGAAATTCTCTTTTCGTCCCAATGGCAGTAATACATATATGCACTGACAACATAAAGAATAAAATCCATCATTTGTGGCAGCAGCAGGGCTGAAAAAAAGCCTGACCAGTAATTTTACTCATCCCAAGCAAAACTATTAGATGGCCTACCTGCCTGTCAACCTACTTCCTGCTTGTGCACA